TGGTTTTATCTCCAACATAGAGGACTTTATAACCATTCTGGTCCCATGCCATCTTTTTTTCTTTTCTGTCTCAATAACTTTTAATACCTCTGTTTCCCCCTGGGCAAGAGCAATGGGCAGAAAGACTTTCCATTTTCCTGCCTTCAGTTTTTGTTTTGTTTGACCATCTTGGAGAGTGCCTTAGCTTGGGACTCTGTGTCCAGCAGATAGCCAGGTACTGCTGTGGGTGGGGCCTTTTCACATTCTTTTGCTTGCTGTTTTTTTTCTTCAGGCATCTTGCTCTTTTTCATTTGCATTTTCTCATCATGGAGCTGCTTTTGGTAGAGCTTAGCCTTCAGACCAGTCTTTTTTATTTGTTTGTTTGTTTTTGCCTTTTTTGAACATTTATGTATCTCTTGGCTTTCCTTCTTCCTTATTTTATCATGGCAATCCAAACAATACTCATAGCATTTATGGTATATTCATTTTGTGGTGGGGTGAAGCCATAGATGCACTGGATGCAGCCCCTGGGGCATGAAGAAGTTCTCATTTTCCCCAAATAAGGTTTTTAATAGTTGGGATGTGTTCAAGTGACAACATTTAATGTTTTAATATTTGAATCCTCTCATTTTAATGTGATTGTACCCTCCATGTCTTACATTTTATTCTAAAGAATATTTTCTTTGATCCTTTTTAAAAAACAAATGAGCATGACTTATTCAGTTAGGACAAATAGTCACCTAGATACTGGTGATGGGTAGGGGATGGTAAAGGTTTCTGGGATCCTTCATGTTGACATCAGCTACTGTTGGGTCAACTCACACATAAGACTAACTGAGTCACATTAATGTTGATCTTAAATTATTCTAGTAGGTATAAAATATTCTTGTTACCACTAAGGAGTTCACTTATTTTATTTTTATGACCACAAGAATAAACTGTATCCTTGCATGAATTGGTATTAGAAATGTCAGGTAATATAAACAAAAGCAAACTCATAGGTCCAAATCGAGGGTTAATGTTAATGTTAATGGAGAGTTACTTACTTGCTTACTTGAAGTTTGCTGAAAAGTTTCTTAAGTGTGTTCCTTTCAGTACAGTACTGTACTTGGTGGGCTTTAAAGATTTATTTTTTATTGCTTTTCTTTTAAATTTTTTATATTCTCCTAAAATTGATCAAGGATATTTTCAGGAGATTTCTAAAATAACATGTCAAAGACAAAGGTTAGTCTGCTATTTTAGGTAGATATAATGTTAAGTAAATCACATAGGCCTAGAAAGGATATTTTTAATCAAGAGTCTGATGCTTTGGGAATATTTGTTGGAATATCTCAAGGTAGTTTTTGTGAAGCCAGGCATGTGGCACATACCTGTGATCCCAGTGGCTTAGGAGGCTGAAGCAGGAGGATCACAAGTTCAAAGCCAGTCATAGCAACTTAGAGAGGCACAAAGCAACATAAGCGAGACCCCCGTCTCTAAATAAAATTTTTAAAAAGGTGGGTAAGGAGAGGTGGCTGGGGATGTGGTTCAGTGATAGAGTGCCCTGGATTCAATCCCTGGTACCAAGAAAAAAAAAAAAGATAGTTTGTGTGTTGCAGCAGCATGTTGAGCTGCCATTGCTAACTAGGCTTCAGTTAAAATGAACGTAGTCATTCGTCTTAGAGGTCACTGTGAGAGGCAGATACCCTTATTCAAGTAGTAAAGAAGAAAAACACAGCAGAACTTTATCTTAAAATGCCTCTTTGTAAAATTGATATATATTATGATTATATGTGACCACGGGATTCATTGTGATATGCACAAAATATCATTTGATCAATTTCATTCCCCAGTGAGCTCCCCTTTTCCCTCCTTGCCTCCCTCGTCTGATCCCCTTCTTCAACTCCTACTGGTCTCCTTTCTATTTTCATGAGGTCTATTTTTAAAAATTCATTTCTTAAATTAAGTTGAATTAAGTTTGCTAAGAGTGAGAACACATGCATTCTTACAGGAATGAGGATGCACTGTGTTCTTGCAGGGCTCTGCGATGAGCCTTGCTTTGGGCTGTCTCGTGCACCAATGTTAACAGCCTGAGGATGGATTGCAGACACTGTAAGGAGGACTGGAGTCCAGGATGGACCTGGATGATTCATTTGTATATTTGTTTTATTTTTTAATTAGTTAGTTACTTAGTTAGTTATTGTAGGTAATGAATATTTGTCCCATAGGTCAAAATTTTTGTCTTATTTACCAGGCTCACCAAGCAAAGTAGATGTAGATTTTTCATATGGGTATATGACTCATTCTGGAATTCTCTTCTCTTGTTTTAAACTTAATATTAAATTTAAATTTATGGCTAGTATGCTTTTTTTAGGAAAATGATAACATTTTAAAATGTTGCTGCAGCTTTTAAGGATTTCAGTCAATTCCCTTGACTAACATATTTTTTGAGCTTGTATTGCAATTAATAAACTGCCATATTTTAGCAGAAGGGAAGATAACTGTGACACCTGAGACATGGTTTCTATACTCAAGGCTATGTCTTTACCAGAGCAGATGCTGAATCAATAGTTTTTTAATAAATACATCAGTAAATAATATTCATAATCTGTAAAGGAATCAAGGAAAGAAAGCCAGTGGAGTGTTGCTTTGTCCCTGATCTATCTTTGTAGGCTGGAAGAATTCTAAGAAAATTACAGGTCTCTGACAGACACTGGTTGATTGAATGACCAAATGGACATGTAGTGTCCATTGCTTGTGGATAGAGTTGTTGGAATCCAGGGGAGGAGCATCATTTCCAGTTGGGGAGGAAAGGCTCATGGATATGTGAGAGAAAGGGAGGGCTTTCTAAAAATAGGGAATGTTGTGGAGGCAACCACAGATAAGTTGGAGGCTGACCGTAGAAGTGCAGCAGTAGTGAGCTGTTAAGTTTGGAAAGTCCTGGGAGGCAAGCTTGTTTCCCTGTTGAATGAAGAGTAAAACTGATATTTTAGAAGAATTATATATATCTAGAGGTATTATATTAGATACATTGAAAAAGGAGAAATCATGAAGCACATATTGACAAGGCTCAGTAATTAATTGAGTTGATGAGGGAAAGGAAAGTGTTTTGAATTTGATTGACTTGGGTAATAGTAAAAGCATAAACAAAAATAGGACAGTTAGAAAATCAGCATTTTGTGGGTAGATTTTTGTATTTCAAATCTTTTAGCGTGGACTGATAGAAATGAGACCTGAGAGGGATCTTGGAGATTGACTTACTCATTAGACTCAAATTACCAATGAGAAAGCTGAGTAGGTTCTGGAACAGCCCTCAAACACATAATCTCTGACCTAGGCACAGAGCTCAAATAGGGTGGCAAGTGTAGAGTCATTTATAGTGTTTTGAAGGTTATTTAAGTAGTATTCGTTTGCAGCCTGACTTTCATTTTAGAATTGAAGAGCCATTATACAAATAAATTGCAGGTAACGTACTAGGAGATACCGTCTATGTAGTATAAACACTGTGTTTAAGATTGAAATAAAAATCTTTTAAGTGTTTTTCAGTGTACTCATTCATTCTTACTGGTAAAAACAATCTGAACTTAAACTTGTACCCAAAAGTCATACCAGTAGTGAATTTGTTTGTCTTTCATTTCAAATATCCTGGCATATTTATATTTAGTAGATTCTATGCAGTTATCACCAAGTTGAAGCTTACTCAATTCTAAACATATTTTGCACTGAAAATGTTTTGTCTTAGACCTTTGATCATCGGTCTTAGATGTCATATTTTCACATTTAAAGGGAAGTCAGTCTCTAAGGCTTCCTTCTGTTAGTGTCTCTAGATGAAGGGTCTTAACCCATCTACTCTTCTTCTTGGGATGACTCCAGGAAGGATGGGGCAGTTATAAGTAGAATTGGTCTTGAATGTACATTACAGAAAAATGATAGGGCTCTGAAGGAGTGATGGGGCCCAATCTTACCTTTTGCATATCTGTTTTTGTTCTTCAATTCCTGTTACACTGAAGATAGAAAATAATGCCCACCTTCCAGCTCATATCCTTTGTTATCTGCCTGTTCTTGGCCTGAATATGTAAGAGCAACACTGGTTTTGCCTTCTGGAGCTCATGGGACTTTCCAAAAATTGAGCTGAGCTTAATGTGTGAACATTCTGATAACTTCTTTGCTTCTAGCCATCTGCCTTCCTGGGCTCACACCTTAGTGGAAGAAGATAGGGTGCTAAATAGGCCTGGGGAAAGAGCCCTTTGTTCCTCAGTAAAAGCAAAAGAGAAAGAGAGTGACTGGGCAGCGTGTAGCATGAGAATAGAAGGTAACTAGTTCTTTTATAGTAAGATGAAGGGTGGAATTCTTAAACCTGGATTATCACTAGTAGGGAATTAAAATAACCATAAGATAGTAGCATCTAATAATTTGCCATCATACTCCTAACTCTTATTTGAAGAACTTTTTGTTTCTCAAATTGCAGTAATAGCACTGAGATTTAAAAGAAAATTATTAGTTATATTTGCTTATTTTCAATCAGTTTCTAGTGGTAATAACTGCTTTTGTCTTTAGGGGAGTGCTGAGAGTTTAACAACCAATCTACAGGATAAGCATTTTAAAATTAGTGATCCCAAGCAATGAGATGATAGGGAAGTCTTGATGATCTCAGAGCTGGCATTGGAGAGAGAGAAGGAGGTAAATTCACATGTCTGAGGCTCTAGGTGGTGGGCAGATGCACTTCAGTAGTAGGAGTTAGCTTTGGAGGAGAGAACAAACATTCTGCGTAGAAATGGGAAACTAGCAGCATTGCTAGTTGGCGTTTCTAGGCTGGAGCTAATGAATTTCCTTTTAACCTGAAATTTTCAGGAATAGTCAGGTTCCTACTTCTGCAAATACCATATGAAAAGACAACCCACTGTTCTTGGATTTATAGACCTAATTTACCAGATTGAAGGACACTTGCTCTTTTTAACTAGCTGAACTAGCTGGCCCCTGCATGGCTGAGTTGCTATGGTAATATGAGCTCAGTGACCTCTCTTCTCTGTTGTGGAATGTAGGTGAAAAGGACGGAGGGGAGCCGGATGATGCTGAACTGGTAAGGCTCAGTAAGAGGCTGGTGGAGAACGCGGTGCTCAAGGCTGTGCAGCAGTATCTGGAAGAGACACAGAACAAAAAGCAGCTCGGGGAAGGGAGCTCTGTGAAAATCGAAGAGGCTGAGCGGAATGGCAATGACAGTGATAACAACAGGAAATGAGACCCCAGCAGATTCCTGCTGCTCTGTGAAAAGCATCCTGCTCCCCTCTGCCAAGGCTCCGGACTGACTTGCAATGTGCTTTTTAAGCATCTCTTATCCAATCCATGGAGGTTGCCCAAAGCTTTCATGATAGATGCCTTTGCATTTCTGAAACAACAGAAGAGAAATGGAATGCTGGCACTAGCAGGGGAAATTAATTTCTGGAAGAAAGATGGCCCAAGTTTCACTTGCCCTCAGCCAGGCACAAGGGAGGGGGGACTTTGGATCACGCCTCCTGGACTTAGAAGCTGCAGGAGAGGTCTTGCCATAAATGGAACACTGCCATTTATATTGTGTAGGACATTTGACTAATTTATCTGAGGCCAAAACTCACACACAGCTATCAAGTGCTAAATTTAAATTCATCACTGTTGAGATTATCATCTGTGTAGTTAATCCATAATGTTTTATGTTGTTCTCAGTGTGCTGTCATTGGGTAGTGATCTTTCTTTACAGTAAATTATGTTTCATGTAAATGATATATTTTCGGCAAATGAAACCTTTTCTATAAAATGTGGGCAACATTTCAAAGGGTTTTTAACCTTATTTTGATAAGTCAATATGCCATATTTAATGTATTTCATTGACATTTGTACTTTAAATGTATTATATAATTTTTTTTCCCTTAGGCAAGAAACCTGTTGGAATTCAAGACTTAATTAATGAAGCTTTACATCGAGAAAGGATGGGTCTCAAGGCCAAGGTGCAACAGATAAAGAAACTTTTATTAAAGCCTGAGACTCAGGCCAAAATTAGGAGGGAGCTTTTTGAAGGAAGACTTATTGACAATAGTAATCAAGCAAATCATGTTGAATTCAGCGCGACTTTGACATAAGCTTTTTGTTGTTATCATGATAACATAGTTATGAAATCTTTTCAGCTTCTTAAATATCTCTTTGGTAAATACCAAAGTATTCTGATAGGTTCTATACAACAGTGAACCAACATTTGGTAAGGAATTTCTTGCCAAAGAAAACCAATTTTGCCCTGTTATTTTTTGAGCTCAACTTGTGTTTTAGAATAATTGTTTCTGTAATATTGAGTCACTTTATAGAAATGACTTCCTAATTAGCTGTTGTGAGATGTTTCTTGGTCTTTGCAGACAAAAAAAATACAGACTGTGAAAAAATCATTTACAGAAAAAAACAAAACCAACAACAGTATTTTAAGGGTCACTTGCTTCCTGTTGACATGATATTAAATCAAAAGAAGCATTGTCCAGCTGTCTACATTTAGTGTTACTTTTAATGAAAATTTGAATGTTTATTGAACATTAATAGTACTTGAATGAACATTTATAAATATAGTAATTGTAATCACTGGTTAAAATGTTTTATAATACCCATATGTATTATTTTTCACTGATCAAAATGTAATTTGCTTTGTCATTTCTTAATGAATGAATGTTTCAGATTTTATTTTCTACTTTTTTGAAGATAAGCCCCAGGTCTTATCACATCCCTTATAATTTGAATTTGTTTGCACTGGTTCAATTTTAAAGAGCATTCTTGAAAAATTTCTCCCCATATGATTATTGGTAACAGCTTTTTTTCTATAGTCATTGTAAAATTGCTGCTACTCATAGATCATGATAGAAGGAGAAATGATTGGAGATCAAATATGTAATCATTCAAATATAAAATCCAGTTTGCTCATGGATTTTAGCTATTTTTTCACTGGATAAATTATATTACATTTATTTATAAGTGAGTTTATGCATTTTCATGCCTCTTAATAAATGTATTGTTTTCCCTTGTTGCTTTCCTTTCTTTTTCTTACTCTTGGAAGTTGTTGGGTCTGTGCTGGTTCACTGAAATCAGGAATAGGAGCTCTGATAGTTTCAGTGTTTGTTCACTGTATGTTCTTATCTTCATGATAAAAGAGCACAGTTGTCAAAGCACCATCGACTCTAGACTTTTAAACCATTTCAAGTAAGTCAGCTTCACAGAGAATTAACAACAGAACATTAAATTCAAATAAAATCTAAATAGTGTCCTATGAACAATTAACCATGTATCACCGAAGTGACATCGATAGCAAAGACAAAAGGACTAGACCCACCCCGGGCAGAGGGAGCTGAGCTGTGTGCCCTGGACCTTTTTTCAGTGATTGAGGCCCTTCTTGGCCTTCTTAAGTAGCCCTTAGGTAGAAAACAAAGATATTTTTAGCTTGCATTGTGTTTCAAATGAGAAAGCACACTGGAAGAAGTTGAGGTTCTTATCCAAGGCCATGCTGTTGTTAGGGATCTGGACACAAATGATAATCCAGATGTCCCAGTGCTACTTTCATCCTCTCATAACCTGGTGAACAGTATTTCAGGAGAGAGAGCTCTTCTCAGCATCCATCTTTAAACATCTTATTCCAGTCCATCTGAAAAGCTTAAGGGCTAAGAAAGGGTATTCACTTTTAATCTGGATTCCATGTCTTACTGTGACTTTAGCTGAGAATCCTATTTTCCACTTGTTAAATATCCACTAAGGCTAAGATTGTGTGTCAGGTGATTTGGGCACATGGTTGAATCCTCACTGATCCTATTAGGAAGTAATTAATGCTTTTTTCATATTAGAAAATGGGGGCTCTACATGGTTCGATGGCCCATCATCATAAAGCTAATAAAAAGTATGGCTAAATTTAATTTTGAATCTATTCTACTTCAAAGCTGACACTTTCTACAACATATCACTTCCCTCTTCACCAAGTACCATATATATCACAAATTAAGAATGTGTAACAAAGGGAAAGTCACTTTCTTTTGACTAAACAAGCTCCCACACAGATCTGAATTTCTGTGAACACTATGAGAGTGTTCAGCTGATGTGATTTGAGGATAAAGGATTCTAATCCTTATCAATGAAGTATCCATTTAAGCAGGCTTATAAAAACAATGGAAGGTATAAAATAAAATTTCTTCATTTTTCATTTTTAAAACCTAATATGACATTAATGCAAAATCTAAGTATGGGATCTGACATGTTCAAGATGACATTATTCCCATGAATAAGAGGGATAGAATAATTGCTCTTTAGGTCATACAGCCAGAGCATGTTGTCCTCAAATGATCCTGTATATGATACAGTCTTTTCTTTTGACAGGGAGGCTGCATGGCTGGTGACAGTGCTGACCAGGGACAGGAGGTGGGGACTGTAGCTTCCACCACTGAGTCTATCACTGGCTATGATCTAGAGCAAACCAGTTCATGTTCTTGAGCCTCACTTCCCAATGTATACTTTGGAGAAGGTTGCTCAGGTGATTTTAGCAATCCTAGATTAGCATTCTTTGTGACTATGCCACAGTACCACTCATGCTACATTGTGTGCAGCCACCTAGATTGGGCCACACTCTCCCATCTACTGGAAATAGAGGCTTAAACTTCCAGAAGACTTTACATTCTGTTTCACTTGTTTGGTTGTCAGTTTATACAGTGAAAGCCCAGTGGCACCTATTCGCATTTATAGCCAGATTCCAACATTCTGGGGGATCAGTCACTAGAAAAATAGCAGATTGTATGTGAATAAGGGTTATGCAAAGTAGTATTTTCAATAGCAGAACAAGATTTTGTTGGCTTTTAACTTGGGCCCGTTTATACAATCTTAGATTGTATCAGTCCTCAGCATAGACTAACTAGAGGCCCTTGAGATATACAGGTTTGTATCTGTTATCTGAAATGCTTAGGATAAGAAGTGTTTGAGATTTTGAATTTTTTTAGACTTTGGAATATTTGAGATATCTTAGGTAGAGGACCCATGAAATTCATTTGTTTCATACAGACCTTATTTATATAGTTTGAAGGTAATTATGCAGTTTTTAGTGTGCCCACATTTTAACTACAACCTATCACATGAAGTCAGATATGGAATTTTCCACTTAATGGTGTCATGCCAGACCCTGCCCCCAATATTGGATTTTGGAATATTTAAGATTTCAAAGTTTGGGGTTAGCGATATTCAACCTGTACTAGAGTTATATCTGAAGCATACTTAAGATTCAAATTATTTACTTCAAACTCCCAAGTGTGGCACCTCCCAGTCACCCCATGTTTCAGGAAAGAGGTAATGAAAGCAACTTGACTTTATGTTCTAAGCATCATTTCAGGACTCTGATCAATAAGATGGGTTTGCCCCTCTGTACACTCAGTTATGGATGCATAAACCAGCTACCATGTTCTGTAACAATAATTTACTTTATTATATAATCAAAGAAAACAAACTTATAGTGTCTCCAAATACATATTGATAAATGGATAACCCTCTGTCGCTCTTTGTTTTCAGCACTTTCAAATATCACCTATAATAATTTTTTCTTGAAAAAAAGCATAGGTGCATTCTTGAATACATAGTTTTTGCAGTTTGATAGAATTCATCTAAAAAAGAAATAAACCCAGCACACTTAAAACCAAAATACTTTCCATGTCCCTACGTGAATTTGATAGCAGGACACATGCTAACAAAACAAACCTCAAGATTTTTTCATTCACAGTAAAAATGAATATTACAGCAATTCACTCAGAGTCAGTGAATTTAAAATTGTGATACAAGCTACAGACCTTCTTTCTTGGATAACTGTTTTGGGGATAATAAGGCTCATTTATAAGGTAATTTGAGAGCTTCTGAAGGCAGGCACTATTATCGTCTGCAGTGTTATGTGCACAGAGCCACTTACTGGTACCCATTAAACGTAACTGATAGATTCAGGTAATTGGGATGATTTCAAAATGAAAACTGCAATATTTATTTCTCTACATATCCTATCATTAGTCACTTATTGGAAGGCCAAGACATTCTGTTATAGCAAGGCCAAGACATTCTGTTATAGCATCTAAGGTAGAAACAATAAAACTGAGAAATCAATTCATTATTTCCAGTAAACCAATGTTGCTTTTCCTATAATGATTTAAATTATTCCTGAAAAGCTACTATATGACACTGTACTATAAATTTATGTTACATTTTTGGACTCATTTTAGGAAACTGACAGTTCTGCTTGTTGTCCTGCCAACTTAAGCAGATATGGCGTATGCAGCTTTTGTTCTTTAGTAATCATATTACTAAGTAGTATAGCACACTCAATTACTCCCCACAGTTCCTACCCCAAACCACGGGGGCACAATATCTCTATGTTATCTTTGAACCAAAAGGCACTGTAATTTCTTCACTGATTTTTTTTCAACTACACATATTTTATCTTCTCCATAATTAAAAAAAATCTTTTTGAATACACTCATATGGGATATATAAAATTGTAGGAAGCAAGAACACAAAGAAATTAAGAATCTTTATAGTTGGACAGAAATTATAGTGGCCAGGAAATAATACATATGCATCAGTCCAAAGAATATCTAATATGATAATTGAGGTAGAAAAATAGCACAAATATGCAACAGTAGGGAGAGACTCGGCATATCTTTTTAAGATTCTGGAAGACAAATTTGGAAGCTGTTTTTATCAGGTCCATGCTTGGAAAGTATCTTTAGGGAGAGGCATATGACAAGGACTTTTGAAGGTTTAGTGTACATTTGTCACACTTAGTGACTGCCCAGCATCTCTTTGAGCACATTTCCTTTGTTTATGCACCTACCTACCACGTGAGCCCTATTTCCCCAGGATAGAAACCCCAGTGTGGCAGCCTGGAACTCACCGTCTCAGCCTTCTAGGTCACTGAAGCTAAGATGTGGGACCTAGGTTCTAACAAGAACAGGAAACCCTGCATGGAGTCTCTTTTCTGGTGAGGATGGTAGAGAGAGATCTACCTCTCAGGAGCAATAGTGGCAAAGGT